GATATTCTGGTATGGGGTTCCTTTCGGGAAAGATTTTTTTCTTGTTCTTTTATCGCGTCGACCTCAAGAGTTCCTGACAAATAAAGGTTAAATGCACACTGGTATTATATTTGCTAGGAATTTTGTTCATCAAATCTGTAATAATAACAAAATACTGCGTGTTCTTCCTGCTCATCTATTTTGTGGGTAAGTCATGTCATGGAACAGTCAGCATACGATTGCACTGTCATTGATTGCTAATATCGATTGTAAAATTATTCTGGATTCCCTACTTGCAGGCGACACGGATGTTGAATGGTATGTTTCAGCAAAGGCATGGCATGAGGGATCTTAGGCAAGCGGTGGATGAAACAGTCAACAGTTTGAATGTCCAATTTAAGGTTTGTGAATAGACAAATTTTTATTTATTTTTTCGCGATGTCAACGCTTAAAGTTATAACCCAATTCAGTTTATTTTGTTGTTCAGGTGTCATATTTATTGTTGTGATTTTCTCGAGTATAATGCTGTCCGATCGAGCACCCTGAATAGAAATTTACCAATTTCTTCAAGCTCGAAAATAGCTTTTCATTTTAATCACTTGTAGTGCTTTCCCTATCCCAATTTTTATCAGCTATATATATATGTTATTCACACCGATACTTACCTTCTTTTCGAGCTCGTTTACTTTTAAGGGCCACCATATTCATCTCCTCGCACCCAATTATGTTACAGGATTCAAGCATCCAGTTGGAAACCGAGTTTGCCACATCGCTCTTCAAAAGACCGAAGCTAGTAATAAACGTCGTGGTGACTGAAGGGGGTGGTGCGAACGGGTCGGATAGTGCCACGCAGTCCGCATCTGCAGTGAATAACCGATCCTTCAATGGGGGTAACACATCCCTACCGCCAACATCCCCCCGTTCGTCTAGTCTCCGCTCAAGGAGCTCATCGTCGCAACAACGGGAGACGAATAGTATGCGCACTAATTCGAGCGTTGTAAATACAAGCGCGAAGTTCGGGGGCCAAGAGTCGTCGGCGCTAGCTCGCAGTTCGAGCGGAGGATACCAGAGCGGCTCCAAATCCGTGTCGCGGCATAACTCTGGTTTGGCGTCTGTCAGTTCCAATGATGTGGACCGTGCGAACCAAACACCCGGACAGAAGGACGAGGAGATACGCGCGCTCAAGGAGAAACAGGAGAGAGTCGAGCTGGAGTTGCAACGTGTGCAAGAACAGTTCGCCACTTTCTCGAGCATGCAGGCGCCTTCCTCTAGTATGCAGACCCCTTCCTCTAGTATGCAGGCCCCTATGTACAGTAACGTTGGGCCAGGCCAACCCATATCGCCCCCACCCGCAGGCGCGCAATCACCTGCGCTACGGCACTCGCAGAGTGTCATGACCAAGCGTGGAGATAACAAGGGGGCGATTGGCCGCACGCACTCGTCTGTGCAAAACGCGGTAACGATAAAGTTCAACGACGATACTGTACCAGACAGCGACTCACTGGATGATGATGCCAACAGCTCCGGCATGGATGATGCGGTCAACGGTAGTTCTGCGAAAGCCTCAGGCGCTGCTGCGTTCCAGCAGTCGGCGTACTATGTGAACGACCGTGTGACCAGTGGTAAAGAAGACCGGGGGGGGTCCGACCTGGCGGCGCACAATGGAGTCAATCGATCCATGACTCAGCCTTTGGAGGCCCATCAGCCCGCCCCTAGACCCAGGCCAAGGCCCAGACCCACAGATGGATTTGCGGTGCCCGAGGAAACGGGGCAGAGCCCCATGCAATACAATCCACATCACAAATTAGGAGGCGTCTCCCCCCAGATGGAGCGCAGTTGGTACAATAAGAATAGTAACAGCAAACAGCCGGGTGTGTCTCGCACGGACTCGAACCTGTCGGCAAACAGCGAACACTTTGACCAGGGGTTGGCTAAGCAAGCGGCACATCGCAACAACACCATGCAACTGCCATCACGCACCTCCCCCTCACGCCATCGCTCACAATCACAGCAGAGATCCTCGCCCACTATGTCGCATCGTGACATGCACACGCAGTCTGTGTTTGTTCCTGGCAGGACAGTCAGTCAGGGGCATGCGCAGCAACCCAAGGAGCGACGTGTGGTGATGGATGGGGCTACTGTAGGGGAGTGCTCCTTCTTCCATGAACTGCTGGACATGACCAAGCAGGAGAGGCATGATAAGCTGTGTGAGTTGTTCGCGGGCAGAAAGAATGGGGATTGGCTGCTGAGGTACAACACGGAACAGAATTCGTACATTATCACACTTAAGTACATAGGAACGCTTCTGCACATCAAGATCCCTCAGGATGAAACGGGCACGTATGAATTGGGTGAGGTAGCCTTCTCGCGATTGGTGGACCTACTAAGCTATTATAGCAACCACAGACTGAGTGAGGATATACCCATACGACTGAATGAGTGTGTACGTGTGCAGCTGCCCACTTTGGAAGGGGATGCAGGCTATGTGGTCATTGGCCCTAAGAGTAACTATGGCGGTTGAGGATTGCGTAGCTTTGTGGTCGCTACTTGGGCTCGTACGCCAGAGCAAAGTGCGCGTTGATGTAACCCACATGAGCATATATCGGTGTTGAGATGTACACGTGTAAAGTAGCGTACACAAGTACAAAAATTGAATATAATGTGTAGCTATTCATACAGAATCCGAGCATATGAAGGATGGAGAGCGCGAACTAGCCTTTGTTTAATCGGTAACCTCTGAAGTTCTGAAAGCTGTGCTTATCAAGGGTAAGAAACGATCAACTTCAAAAGAATAGCGCACATATGGTGAGCAGCAATAGGAATACACAATCTCGCTCAAACGAAATCTGAACAACGCAGAAAGAATAGACTTCGTATTCCATCTGTGTTGGGGGAGGGATCATTAGGAGAAGAAAAACTGTTCGAAGAATTTTATGTTGCGCAGCAACGTCATGGGCGACCATCAAGGGGCAGGTAATCAACAAGGACTATCTCACGCTGGTACGTGCCGTAATTGTGCTGTATCAACTGAAGATTTGTTTAGGAGGGTAAGGTCATGTAATGTACGAATAATAAAGGAAGCTTAGAGGATCAATAGCACTTTATATGTATTACCTCTATATGCGGTGACTTGTTGGCATACATTCAAATGTGTCAAGACGCTCATTCAACCTTAGTTCTCGTACGTGTGCCGGTGCCAACACTTTCCATACAATGCTTATGCTCCTGCGAATACGACACGTGTGGATATGCATCTCAATGCAGGCCTCGGTAGAAAAATACTTTGTGACCATCCGTGTCAACCCGTTTCAATTACGCAGTGTAATCATCTTGATACGTGAACTCACGGTTTTAATCGTCTCACGAGAAGGTCCACTGAATTGGCATTACGACAGGAATACCATAGGCATGGCCAAATCAGAATGGGTGCGAAAGAGCAAATACCAGCCTCTTGACATACAGCCTACAGTAGCCTATATTTAAAATGTATAATTTCTGAAAATAAAACATTTGATCCCAGTCATAAGAAAGAACTGATCGGGATACTTCATAAAAAGTCAGATCACACTTTCAAGTTTATATATGAAAATGCACAATCGCTTTCTCCTCTGTAAATATGCTCCTATAGTGGGCGATAAGAATATCTTGCAACCACTGTTAGGCTTGGGGACCCATTTAAAAGGCTGTTCAGGCGATCGTCAAATTGATAAGCATGTGATCATGTTTTAATACCTAATAACTTGAGTTTTGCATGAAATATTATTGCCAAGCTTCCCAAGATATTATACCACATTTTGTCGATATATCTACATCGATGTGCACAATAAATCGAAGCAGTCACTTAATAGAAGAAACATTCCGACCGGGAGGGGTGCTATCACTGGAAGGGCGAGACCATTGTGTTATATCAGCGGAATTTTTACAGAACAGCAAGCCTGACCTCAGGCAGAACTAGCACAAGACTGTGTTTCAAACTGGCAAGAACTATCGCGACCTCTGAACTTCAAGCTACAGCGGGAGAGCAACCTTAACAACCCAAAATGACCTTTTGTGCAACTTCCTATTTTAAACCCCATATGCAACAGCAAGCACGTAATGCTAAAATACGAAATTCCGGTCACTTCGAACCTCTTTTCTAGGACTTTCGTGATGCAAACTATTGCACCGCAAACTGCATTGCAAGAGCGCGCACAACCGAGCAGCCTCAGGTTTCGATGCTCGTAGCGAGAGTATCAGCTCCATGATCTGTTAAACATATATTGTGATAAAAAAGTGTTTTATTGTACCCTCTTCAGAGGGTGTAATATACGTGTTCTATTGCCTGACATTAATCTATGGTGGAAGCACTGTTTTGTGATTTGGTGTCATATTTGATTGACATCTGACAGTCTGATATTCCGAACTTCTGTTGTATTCGAAATATAGATCAATATTGGATTGTTATGGCTAGCACTCCCCTGAAACCGGTATATCGAAAGTATGTTGAGAATACAATCATATACTTGGGTGTGGATAGCTCCTTAATTCCCCCTGTATTGTTTCTCTACAGAGTTGATGGGGAGGTCGCTGAGCATCGTAGAGGTATATCTGGAGTGCGTAGGCTGTGAAATATTGTTAGTTTTATTTAATAGATATTGGCTTGGTTGTCAGAAGATGTAATGTAGTCGTTCCTTGATGTTATGCACTCTGATAACGACATGTTTTAAGTGCTTCCTGGTACCGTGGAGGCGATGGCGCTTATGGCTGACATATTATCACAGAGAGAATCGTAGGTGCAGGTTGTGGGAATCCAAGTTCGCTCAGAACATTTCGCAACCACTGGTCGTGCCTGCCTTGCCTGCTTCAGAAGCGGTGAAGTGTTCCGATGTAGAGAGGGTTGGCTGATGTTCCGATTTTCATATTACAGGAACGTTGTTGCTACGGAGGACGTACCCAATCGTGTACCGGCGTGTGTCGGGGCATGCAGTGTAATTAGCATCGCAAATGGCGTATGCAATGGAAGTCCTTGCTGATAACGGTAGGTCAGGTCGAGGTTGGGTATGGAATTACGGCATTGTAGAATGCGTAATGCAGCCTGCGAATGACATGAATCAGGCGACCATGTTGAGTGCATAAGTGATCTCACTGCGTGTCAAAAATGAGAGGTATTAGAATGTGCCTATGAGTTCGCGGTACGCGCAGGTGTAGGCTGGTCCAGTGTGTTGCGAGATAGGTGTTTGTGGGGCGAGTGTCTCCAAGATTTCCTTAATATAGTTATCTTGCACCAAGACTGATGGAATCGTGTGTGGTTAAAACCTGTAAGAGCCAGTGAGGATCGCCGAGGTCCCTGCAACTGAATTCTTTCTTCAGTGAACGCTTGAAAGCCTGAATGTCTTGGGCAGTCTCGCCGCAGATGATGAGATCGCCCACAAGTAAAAGTACTGCACATAAGAGTCTGTCAGTTGTGGCGATGAATAGGCACGGGTCCAAGGCGGCCTGTGTGGACCCCATAGATAAAAGTTTTGATTTGATCGTGCGTGCCATAGCCACCAGGATTGCTTCAGCCCATATATGCTCTTCTTGAGCTTCATGGTGTGGTCATCAGCGATTCGGATAGTGGATGAACCTTATAGCGGTGTCATGTAGATGGTCTGGTCGAGGTCGGCATACAGATAGGTGATGTCCACGTCCATCTGTTCAACGTGCCAGACGGCATATGCAGCGACTGCGAGAATTGTTCGGAGTGTTTCATGGCTGTAGGTAGGTGCATTTGTCTTGTTGAAATTGATGCCCTTTGTTTGCGTTAAGACCTTTGCGCATAAACGGGATTTGTATTCATCTACTAATCCATCGATCATCTCTACATTGACGACCTATTTACTCGTAACCGTGAATATATCATCGGGGAGGTCATCAGGATGGATAAGATCGTTATGTCCCAGCTTTTTAGAGGCTAGCCAGTTCCCGATTCGCACCAGAGACCTGTATCGTCATCTTTCAAAGCCTCACAGATAGTTCCTGGTGTAAGCAGACTGGTTTGAGCAGCTGCAGATGATTTGTAGTTGTTGAACTTTGGTGTCGTACAGCACGTGCAACAACAGGACTAGCTGTTGCACGAGTTTGGTACTGGATATAGACGTGCTGATTTTTGACATATAAATCATGGTCATTAGTATCATCTGGTTGGTGGAGTCTCGTAGGCTTTGGGCGTTTGTGCTGACCAGCCTTGTTGTGTTTGTGTGCCCGTTTGATATGTGCTAGATCACGTCTATACCGTTTGTGTAAGTTCGATCCTTGTCAGTGTTGTCAATGGCTGGGGAGTCTTAAGATAGGTGATCATTGTTTTCTATGTCTATGGCCTATGTGACTCATTCCTGTGTCGGAGGTGGCTGGGGAGTGGTAACTGTGAAGGTATTTATTCCAGGTAGTGGTATAGATTTCGTTGGTAACGTGTTGTAGTGGATGACTCAAAGGGCTCTCTGTGCTAGTGGCGCTGAAGAGGACTCCCCTGGACTAACCCCTAAAACCCTATATCGGACTCCCTTGAATATCTAAAGTCAACACCCGAGGTTTAATGGATCCCGAGGTAGTCTCTCCTGGCTGTATAGAAGCCTTGTATTGAGCGAGGGTGGTACTTTGCTGTGTTGTGGCAGCTGTTTATTGTCGATCGTGCTGTCGTTGCGGTATATTGTTGCATTGTTAGACACCGCCGTATGTAATACACATATTATTTAGGAGGCAGGTATCTTGAATGGGGCCCATTGTGGGATCATGCTGAGAGAAGTGGTCCCTTCAATGTCTGTGAGCGTGGGTGTTTGGTAATATGTCCAGAGAGGGTGTTGTTAATGGTTGTCTCCGTGGTGGCAGTTTCTGGTAAGGGCAGTATGTCCGGAGTTGAATCTTCAGCCTGCGGTGATGGCTGGAAACGTTGTGACGGAGTAGGTAACAGTGTAGGCGTTGTCGGCTGTGGTGATGTGGGCAGCAATGCACGAGTATTCTCATGAATAGAGGGTTACGGAGTCGTTTGAGTGGGAGTTGCTGTAGTGGTCGGTGTATGTAGTATGGTGTGTGGACGAGTGAGGTGTGGTACCTTGAGGAGTATGTATGGGAAGTTGGTGTTGAGCTGCCGGTGAGAGCTGTTGGTTGGCGAGGGCGAGTGCTACTTCGAGAATGGCTGGAATGTCTCCGACGGCAGTGTTGAACTTAGGCAGTGGCGTGGTACCGATCATGGTCCAGGTATGAAAGACCTGATGATTATGTTGCACATCTCGTGAGTGACAGATTTTTCCCGATTTTAGACTTAATATTCCTCATTCGTCGTAATCCTGGACTGTCGGTCATATCCGAGATAAACACCGATAGTAGCTCGCTCATTAAGTTTGCCGTCTTGATCTTGGTGATGAATGCCACTTGGCTACCAGTGACAGATTTTTCCCGATTTTAGACTTGATATTCGACATTCTTCGTATTAAAGGACTGTCGGTCATATCCGAGATGTACACCGATAGTAGCTCGCTCATCAAGTTTACCGTATTGGTCTTG